ATTCACTTTGCTTACTGTGCAGGGATATGGCAAAGTTGCAGGTCTCTTTCTGGATGGTCCTAGTACCATGAGTTGACCTATATATCTTAATTTTTCAATGTCGTTAAGCACAAGGGGTACCACTATTGTGGAAATTTCAAATCACTTATCATAATGCATCTTGATGACCTGAATGAATGAATATTTGGTGTTGGAAAGGGCTCTTACATTTCCTTCCAAAAAAGTGATCAGTTTAAGTGGCATCACACTGCCTACGAAATGCCAAAGGCTTGGCATGGCCAGGTGGTTAGGGCGCTTGACTCACAATCTGTGGGTTGCAGGTTCGAATCCCTGTCACACCAAACATGCTTGCCCTTTCAGCAGTGGGGGCATTATAATGTGATGGTCAATCCTACTATTCGTTGGTAAAAGAGTAGCCCAAGAGTTGGCAGTGGGTGGTGATGACTAGCTGCCTTCCCTCTAGTCTCACTCTACTAAATTAGGGACAGTTAGTGCAGATAACCCTCATATAGCTTTGCACGAGATTCAAAACAAACAAACGAAATGCCAAACAATATGTCAGCATGTAGTTGTGATGCAGGCTGTACCATCATGCACTATGTATATTGGCAGTTGTTGTTACATTATATTTGCCCCATTGAGGTGAATTCCTGTATGTGGTGAGGGGGGACCTCTCTGGGAAGGTTCTATATTTTCAGATTACCTCCTCTAGGATCTGAACATCCACCCACGTGTTTTCCATGTGTGGCGACCCATAAAGGGGAGGAGAGGATCCTGCTGGTTGATAGATGTCAGTGGCACTTCAGCATACAATTTTGGCTTTGAATTCCTGTAGAAGGGTGCCTTGGATGGCTACCCCAAGGTCAATCAGCTGGTCCTGTTGGGCTAGAGTCAACTAAGTACCAGTGTTGGGCATTATCAACAGGTATTGTAGACATTGTGTCTGATGCTGGTGTTTGAGTATAGTGCTCACGAAGCCCTGACATTGCATCCCCTCATAGGGCTCCATGGTGGGTGGGGTCAGTGGGCACTGAATCATTTTCTTGAAAAAAATAAACTAATAAAAAAAAGTTAGTAGGTAAGCAACCTTGTTTAAAAGACTGAACAGCAGTCTACATCCCATTCATCACCTGTACCCTGCTTTTCATCTTGCATCCTTTATCAGACACGCCTTTATGGCAAATGTCTTCCCTTTTTATTCAGAAGAAATTAAAAGGGTTTGCTGGCTCTTTAAACTCAATGAAGAAGCTACATTCTGAAGACATCTTGGTGGAAACATCTACACTGAAATACAGTGAACTCTTCCTCAATTCGAAGTCCATTTGGGATATATCTATTGAAGTTACTCTGCATGCTACCTCGAATTCCTCCTGAGTAGTGATTGTTGAAAGGGTTTATGGAACATACCCAAGTTGGAGGTCCTCAACAGTTTCTCCAGCCAAGGAGTTTCTGCTGTGTGATGCATCTCTACTCATAAAGAAGGAATTATGCTACCTACCAATGTTCTTGCATTGAAGATCACATCACTATGTCTGCTTGACACTGTCAAGGCAGGATATATGAACTGTGTTGTAAGGCCATATATTTCTAACTCTCTCAGGTGTTTCCAGTGTCAGTGGTTCAGACATTCAAATGCGTCTTGACATGTGCTTGTTGTGGTGGGAAAGATCATGATGCCTATGAGTGTCAACTGGACCCTCACTGTGTCAATTGTGGCGGTTCTCGCCCCTCTTGCAATTTTGCCCTAAGTGGGTGGGGGAGAAAGAGGTACAACATTTATGTACTGTAAAAATTTCTTACCTTGAGGCTCGGAAGTTGTTGCCCCCTGTTTCATCTCAGACATATCCTGCTTCACTATATGTTCGACTGCTACAGTGGAAGTGGAGAAAGAACTTTCCATACTTCCTGTAGAGTCTTTCTCTCATCATGTAAAGAGTATTTTGCCCTCTGTGGATGCCAGAGTTGACAAGTCTACATCTACTCCTGTCTTTGCCCCTCCCATTGATTTCAGTGACTGCTCGGGTTCGGCCCCGAGGTGCAGGACCATTATTAATTCGCGCCCTCATTCACTGGACTATTCTTCTACTGAAAGAGATCTGCCCAATCGACCCAGGGCAGGTTCCTGGAAGTCAACAGATCTCTTTCTGGTAAAGAAAAACGTCGTAGTCACAAATAAAAAGGTTTTCCACCCAGTTTACCTCCATCTAAATAAAAATGGCCACTTTGATACAGTAGAACTGTCGACGTTTCCATTTTAATTTGGATGATATTAAGGCCTTGGTCACTTTCTATCATCCCATATGTTTCTCCTTACAGGAAACATTCCTGAGACCTGCTGATGCTGTCACCTTTTTGCAGTTTTCTTTATGTTGGAATGACAAGTTGTGTGATGGACGAATCCATGGAGGGTGGCACTGCTGATTGACCAGAATGTACTCAACTTGTCTGTGTCATTCGATACACCCTTGGAGGCTGTAACCATCTGTATCTCCATGGGTCATCCCATCACTGTTTGTTCTATCTACCTGTCTCTCAGAGATACGATCAATCAAACCTTGATGTTCTCGTAGAACAATTGCTGTTTCCATTTTTCATCTTGGGAGACTTTAACAGACACAATCCCAATTGGGGTAATGCTGATATTGATGGGAGGAGTCGTTCTGAGGAGCTTATGCTTTCAGATAACAACCCGTCTCTCTTCAATAGTGGTTCATTTACCTATTTTCATGCACTCAGTCTGTCCTTTACTGCTATTGATCACTATTGGTACACCTTCACTTTTTCTCATTTTTCTTGGAGGGTTGACAGTGACCCAT